TCTCTTTCAGCCTGGCTTTATTCTGTTAAGCCATTGGCCAAAAGTAGCTTCTTTATTAACCAATGGCAATAAAGCATATTCACAGCATACTTCACCTCCCACGTCAGTCCTCTTGATAAACTAGTTTTTTGTTTGGTTTGCTTTAACTTTGGGTTTGGTTTTTGGTTGAAGCATATATTGAAATGTTCTGATCCTAAGTATACAATGTGGAGTTCTGATGGTCATTTGCAGGGATGAATTAAGATACAGAACATTTCTGCTGCTCCCAAATCCCCAGCTATTACCCTCTGAGGTAGCTGTTGTTACTTGTCAACAACTTGACAAAATTCAGAATCACCTGAGGGATGGGCTTCTGGGTAATTGAGGAGATACCATTCCTTGGCAGGGTATCCTGAATTATGCAAATGGAGACCCAAGAGCTGAGGAGGGCCCTGGGTTTATCATTCTCTCTGCTTCCTGTGTGGGGATGCGATGTGACCCCCCAGCTTCCTGCTCCTGCCTTCCACAGGAATCTTCTCCACCACGAGGAACCATATTCCCCTGGGATCTTTCTCCCTTCAGTTTCTTTACTCAGAGAATTTTACCACAGAAACAACAACAGAAATGAAGCAACTTCCCTTTAGCTGTTTCCCGCTAGAGACTTCTGCCTTAACTGCATTTTTGCTTTTCTTTTTCTGTCCCTTTTCCTTTTCCCTCCCTCCCTGCTTCCTTCCCTTTCGCTCTCATTTGTGTGTTTGTTTGTTGTTGTCCTATAGCAGGCTGCAAGCTCTGGAGTTATCTGTGAGCCACCCAGCCCCAAGGCCTGACAGCCTCCCCTCTACTCAGCGGAATGGTTTTGGGTTCCATCTATGCTTTTGCGTATGTCAGTGATTCTTGGCTTTTGCTGTGCAGTAATATTTTACTGTATGAGCCTGATATGTTTGTTTATTTGCCCCTTTTGCCGGGGGCTTCACCTCACTTTTGCTTTTTGAGACAAGGTTTCCATATACAGCTTTGACTGGCCTAACACTCCTTGTGTAGCCCAAACTGGCCTCACATTGGTGGCCGTCTTCACGTGTCTGCCTCCCGCGTGCTGAGATCACGGACTTGCACAATCACGCACAGTGTGGCATTCACATTTCGTTACTAGAATCTCCTTCCTAGGTGTTTCACGGAGAGACGTGAAGGCATGTGCAGTATGTACCAAGCCTAAAGACCTGAGTTCAATCACTATATCCCACGAAATAGGAGAGAATCAACTCCTTTGTCTAATTCTGTGATCTCATACTGTGTGTGTGTGTGTGTGTGTGTGTGTGTGTGTGTGTTTGTATGCTGATAGGTAAGCACACACAAACATACATTCTTTTTAATGAAGAACAAAAAGAATAGTAATTTGCTTCTCCTCTCCTCTCCTTTACTTTTCATTTCTTTGCCTTTTCATATGGCGCTGGGTTTGAACCCAAGACCTCATGCTTGTTCTCAAGTACACAACCACTGAGCTGTTTCCGGCTGCCCTATCGCAATCTGACCTTCACAGGGATGCTAGAGGGATCTTTTAGGTAAATTACTCAAATCTCATTCCTCTTCTGCTTAACACCCGTTAGTGGCTTCCCTTCCTGCCTAAAAGGAAGAAGTCCAAGCTGCCTATTGCGGTGAGTAAAATCCAGACCTCTGGAAGTCTCAACGTGGCCGCACAGGGGACTCTTCAGGGAACTTTTGAACAAGTGAGCTGGGTGCTCTGGAGGAGGTCTGCGGGCCTCTGCAGCTCCCTGGGAGATGCTCACAGGCCTTGGCATGTGTCATGGCCCCTGGCTTCCCTGCTTTAACATCGCCTCACAGCCCCTCCTCCCGGCCCTCTGAACACAGAGACTCCAATCCCCACATCAGGGCTGCGCCCTCACGGATCTCTCTTTGCTGTGCTCTTCAGATCTTAGTGTGACTGCTTCTTTCTTGTGATTCAGGCTCAGCCGTCGCAGGCTCAGAGGGGCTAAAAGCCACGCGGTCACAGTCGCGGGGCGCTTGTCCGCCTCTCCATGTCACACCTGCATCTATTGTTGCTGTGTTCATTTTTTCCCCCTGGGTCTTTCTCTCCAGTAAGAGGATGGATTTGCCCTCCTGCTCACTCTGGCACCTCTAGCATTTACAGCCATGCCCGCCACACGCAAGGCCTTAATCAATGTTTGCTGGCAGATGTGTGTTTGGACGGGATGTGTGTTGCCCGGCAGGAAAGCAACCATCCAGAAAGGCTTTTCTATCTGTCTTTCCCCTGATGTTCATGTAAGACCATTAATTTTCTGGAAAATGGTGATTCTAGCCTTAGGGGAAGAAATCCAAGTAATAGAGCTTGTTAGATCTTGAAGAGGAGAGATATTGCCTTTAGTTCACAAATGAATGGGGATTTTTGTCATTGTTGGTTTGTTTTGACAGCTAGGGTCTCATGTAGCCCAGGCTGGCCTTGAACTTGCTGTATAACAGAGGAAGACCCTGCTCTTCTGAACTTTCTGCCTCCACCTCATGAGTGCTGGGATTACCAGGGTATGCCACCATGCCTGGCTTATTGATGTTGCAGATCACACCCAGGGTTTTGTCCATCCTGGTTAGACACTGTACCCACTCCCCACCTTGGTCTCTAATGTCTTAGCTTTGGTTCCAGCTTGATGCTTTGTACTATTTTTGTTTGGCTTTGTTTCTTGGTTAACAGTGATGGCTTCTTGGAGATAGGACTGTGGGACATTAGTGCTTCATTATCTTCTCTCTGCAGATTCTCTTTATAAGCAAGGCATGTGTTAATGCGATATTTTAAGAGTTTAAAGTACTCGGGAGGCAGAGGCAGGTGGATCTCTGTGAGTTCGAGGCCAGCCTGGTCTACTGAGCTAGTTTCAGGACAACTAGGGCTGTTACATAGAGAAACCCTGTCTCAAAAAACAAAAAACAAAACAAAAAAAAAGCAAGAAGAAAACAATGAGACAGAGAGGAAGACAGAAAGGACGTGGGAGAATCTGAAGCACTCTCTAAATACCAGATACAGCACTAGGTGTGTCTCGGATCCATTTACCCATCACAATTTTATGTGAAATATATGTAACTATTTGTATTTCACAGGTAGACAGACTGAATGGGGCCTAGGAAAATCTTGCTTTCCTTCTGAACATTCCTATCTCCTTGCTGCTCTCATTTATAAGAGTGAGCAAAATACACAAGGCATGGATGGCATTAACAATGGAAAAGCCATCTAATGAGAGAACGATTAATCAAAGATTCGGATCGATCTTGTGGGGTCAGGACACGGAGCTGAAGCCAGCAATCAGACCAGCGCTCTGGGTAAAGGGAAACTCCCACAGTCCACAGGCAGCTGCTAAGGTTGACAAAGACAAG